TTGCCCAATTTTTTGCAGATCCGCCCCCCCACCGAATACCCCAGAACAGCTCATTCAGGGCTGACTAAAGAGCTATGATCTTAACTGATCTGTTTACTGTGGGAATTACTTCCGGCTCGAGAACTGGTGCTGGGCACAACCAAACAGTAGGTTTGCGGGAGATTTTTTTTTTAAGGGTTGGTTACACTTTCCAGGAAACAGAATACATACAGGTGGGCAGGCATTTTGTTTATTTAAAAGGGTATTTTAAATGGCCAGGGAATAGTTACTTTCGCAGAGCAGGTCCAGCCTGCCTGTCAGTCCTGCTACTATGTAACAGCCGAGCATGCGCATAAAAACACTCCAGCCACAGAACAGGCACTTCGGGGGCCAGGAGTTCCTGTGCAGAGCTCGCCTCCCTGTGAGACAGAAGCCGGCCTCGGGCAGCCCAGGCCCGCTGCCCCCGCTGTGGGGCTCAGTCCTTTCGCCCAAGCTCCTGTTTGTATTTGGATAGAACACAAAGCAGTTAGAACATTCCACTAGTTTCCTTCCTTCTGTTCTGTTTGCATTGTGGTCAGTTATCTTACAGACACATTTGTTACATTTTCTAGGGTTTTGCACTCCTGTTTGACATACCTGATAATAGCAAATTTTTGGTTTTGCCCTAACAGTGCCTGTCTTCTTAATAGAAATAGCGTGGCCACAACGTGTACTTAACGTAACTGAAATGCAGAATGCTGCACATAAGATTCGACTCTGCTAAGGCCTTTGACGGTCATCCTTTAGATGGTGTGTGGTCACATCACTCTTTCTTCCGTGGGATGTAACAGTCTTCTATTTTAAGCAGTAACGGAAACTCCTTTCTGCTGCAGTTTCTGGCACAAATGTTAACTTTTCCAAGCTATGGTCTGTATTTCTGTATTAATTTATGCAATTAATTTAGAAAAGATAAACGGGCTCATTTGCAACAACGTGGATGGACCTAGAGATTATCATAGTAAGTGGAGTCAGAGAAAACAAATATCATATAACATCACTTACATGTGGAATCTAAAAAACAATGGCACAGATGAACTTTTACACAATAGAGACTTACAGACATAAAAAACAAACTTACGGTTGCCAGGGATGGGGGGGGTGAAGGGAGGGTTAAATTGGGAGTTTGGGATTGGCTGATACAAACTACTATGTACCGAATAGGTAAACAACAAGGGCCTACTATATATGTACAGCACAGGGAACCACATTCAATGGCTTGTAGTAACCTGTAATGAAAAAAAATATATATATGTATATTTATATATATAAAATTGTATATATATATAAAATTGAATCACTAAACCGTACACCAGAAACTAATACAACATTATGAATCAGCTATACTTCAATTTTTAAAAAGTTTTAAAGATAAACAAATAAATGGGCTCTATAAACAGATTAAGTTGCCAGACAGGAGAAAATATTCATTACTGCTTTGGCTGTCATGCAAAACTTTATGGGGCCACCAAATGCTCTGATATTGTCTTTGCCTTCAATCACAAAAGGATTTGAAAAATCTGCCTGCTCATGTTTTTCTACAATGAGTGGAAAAAATATATAATCATTTTATTTAACCACGAATTAATCTATTTGATAAATTTTATAGCCAGGAAGACATATAAATTTTTACTGAACATAAGGTTTAAGATTTCTGGTTTGAAAAAAAAAAAGATTTCTGGTTTGATTATATCAAGGCTTTCAAAATTGTTAGGTGATTAAAGCATTATCACTAGCTGACAGCTGTACTAAGTATTGGATTGGGTTTAGGTTATTATATTTAAGAGATATTTGGTATAGCCAGTTCAAGAACTTAATCCAGACCTGAGGTCCTAGATTTAATCCCAGAATTTATTTCTAATTAAATTTTTATACCAATTCTTCCAATAGAGTTCTGTTCCAGGGCTTCTCAAATTTTAATGTGTATAAAAATCACCTTGGAATCTTGTTAAATGATGATACTGACTCAGTAGATCTGGGTGGGGCCCCGAGTTCTGCATTTTTAGCAAACTCACCACTGGTGCCAATGATGCTGGTCCAAAGACCACAGTTTGAGCAGCGAGGAACGAAATCCCCCCCACCCCTCTCTGTGTGTCAGTGGGTGGTTGGGCTGATATTAGACACAGATGTTTATTAAAGGATCAGTGAGGATCAGTGATCATCTTCAGTTCTTCCATCACCAATTTGCAAATGTTTGGTTATCTTGGCAAATGAGGGCACTGGAGGATGAAATGGCCATGGCCGTGTAAATGACAGGCAGCATAAATGTCTCACACACTCAGCTCTGTATATTCTCAGTTCATCCCAAGCCCCGAGGGTTTTTTTGTCTTGTTTCCTTTTTTGCTCACAATTCTTCAGGACTGTGGATTTCTGCATTCTGCCTCAAAGAAACTCCTGACCGTGTCAGAAGCACCGCATCTGGTCCTCATGATCTCGTGTTCTCAGCCTCAAATTATATCATAAGGCTGTGATGTCCTTATGTGTGTAGGACCGTGGTCCTTGCTCACTGCTTTCACAGGAGGTATAAAGCTGACACTAAGAGCCACCGTTTTGCCACTTTATCATGTTAATATTTGAAAAGGGCCATTCCCTAGAGATCCAGGAAAGATTTGCACTGATTAATCTAGAATCCTAGATCACAGCCCCATCACTGGTCAGAGTGTGGTGTCACGGGCCATTGGGATTTTCTGAGAAAGCTGCTTGAGCAAATGACAGGACTGGAGACAGTTTCCTAGACTTGATAATGAGGTGACTTGATGCTCAGTCACTGGTGACTACAAACTGTCTAAGACTTAGCCTAGTTCTCGTGTTTGATGTGGTTTTCATACTCATTAAGGCAAAAGAGAAGCTTTAAGACATTTTAAATTTGTATTATAGATTCTAGCTTAGTCTTTTATGTAAGATTTTATTTCTCCCTTAATTGCTCCCACACTAATTAGGACAGTGCTGTTCATTGAAACTTTCAAAATATACACATGTATTTTTTTCAGATTATTTTCCATTATAGGTTAATACAAGATAATGAATATTGTTCCCTGTGTTATATAGTAAATCCTTGTTGCTTATCTATATTCTGCATAGTAGTTTATATCGTTAGTCCCATAGTCCAAATTTATCCCTCCCCTCCTCCTTTTCCCCTTTGGTAACCCAAAGTTTGTTTTCTATGTCTGTAAATCTGTTTCTGATTTGTAAATAAGTTCATTTGTATCATTTTTTGGATTCCAATTATTATTATCTAATCATCTGTCAGTGGACATTTGGGTTGCTTCCATGTCTTGGCTATTATAAATAGTGCTGCTATGAACATTGGGGTGCAGGTGTCTTTTCAAGTTAGAGTTTCCTTCAGATATATGCCCAGGAGTGGGATTGCTGGATCATATGGTAACTCTATTTTTAGGTTTTTAAGGAGTCTCCATACTATTTTCCATAGTGGCTGCACCAAATTACCTTCCCACCAACAGTGTAAAAGGGTTCCCTTTTCTTCACACCCTTTCTAGCTTTTATTGTTTGTGGGTTTTTAATGATACAGCCATTCTGACCAATGTGAAGTGATACCTCATTGTAGTTTTGATTTGCATTTCTCTGATAGTGATATTGAACATCTTTTCATGTGCCTCTTGGCCATCTGTATGTCTTCTTTGAAAAAATGTATGTTTAGCTCTTCTGCCCATTTTTTTGATTGGGTTGTTTGTGTTTCTGTCATTGAGTTGTGTGAGCTATTTGTATATTTTGGAAATTAACCCCTTGTCATTTGTATCATTTGCAAATATTTTCTCCCAGTCTGTAGGTTGCCTTTTCATTTTATTTACAGTTTCCCTTGCTGTGCAAAAGCTTGTAAGTTTGGTTGGGTCCCATTTGTTTATTTTTGCTTTTATTTCTGTTGTTTTGGGAGACTGACCCAGGAAAGCATTGCTACAATTTACGTCAGGGAACGTTTTGCCTGTGTTCTTTTCTAGGAGATTTATCACGTCCAATCTGACGTTTAAGTCTTTAAGCCATTTTGAGTGTATCTTTGTGTATGGTGTGCGGGGGTGTTCTAACCTCACTGATTTACATGTGGCTGTCCAGCCTCCCCAGTACCACTTGCCAAAGTGACTGTCTTTTCTCCGTTGTATATCCTTTGGATTTGCCGGCATTCTTAAACGGCTTCTAAAAGTTGGACGCCGTACTGTACGTTCTCCCAGGTGTTCAACAAGGCAGCCGTGGGAGCGAGTCCGAGCAGCCTTGCTGGCGGTGCTGAGTCACAGGTGCAGGTGAAGGGAAGGATGCAAGAGGCAGAGACACAGCTTACACAGGCCGTGGAGACACCCCGTGAAAGGCTTCCAAGGAGTCACAACAATGACTGTAGAACACTATGAGTGATGTGATCCCATTTTGAAAAAAAGCAAACCAACTACCGTAAGCATGATGGGAAGGAAAGACACCCACTAAACTGGTAGCAGTTACTTGTCAACCAGCAGTGGTTACATCATACACTCCTGTTCTGCTTCTTTTTTTATCTGACTGTATATGATGCGAGAGTTTTGTTCATCAGCAGGTACTCCTCGCTCGTTAGCAGGTCAGCTCGTCAAAAGTCCCCACCTCTTGCGAGCTGAGCAGTGTAGTTTAGGGGGTCTCTCAGCTGGGGCTGGAGGTAGGAAGGGGAGGGCAGGAATGAGCAGGCTCTGGAGATTTGCCATGTTCCAGAAGATGTGTCTTCAGCCAGACCACATGGCTTCTGCAGGGTCTAAAGGGCCAGGAGAACAGCTGTACACTGGGCTAGCTCCCCCGGCCTGAGGGGGCAGGAGAGCCCCAGAGACCATCTCCTGCCCCACTGACACTCCGGCTCCACATCTGCGCACAGGCACTTCATTCCTCTAAACATACAGCTCTCTCATCGCTCTCTGGGATCGCTGCAAGAGAAAGCCGAGGCTGGCCGGGCTGCGTCTGTGGCTTGGCAGACACTGCCATCCAGAACGGGGTGGCCAACAGCCTGCCTTGGGCAGAGGCCCCGGCCAAACCTCTGCTTCCCTCTCTCATTCCAGTACATCCCTCTGCCCGTGCTGTATGGAGTCTTCCTCTACATGGGTGTGGCCTCCCTGAATGGCATCCAGGTAAGGCCCTCCCCTGCCCCCCAGGCTGAGCTGATGGGATCAGCACTCCACGTCTGGTTGCGTGCCGCAGAAACCCCAGTGCTCGCTTTCCCAGGGCAATGAAATCACAGCAGTGATACTGATAATACAATTTACTGTGCGCCAGTATGGAAAATGACTATACCAGGCGCTTTATAGGCGTTTTATAATCTAATCTATTTTACAGATGAGGACACTGAGGCTCAGCATTCAAAACCCAGATCGGGCTGACTCCTATGAGCATTTTACTCAACCTCTGTCTTCTCTAGGGCAATCTGTACAGAAGAAAAATTTTGTTTTGTTCTTTATTTACCGTGAGACACCAGATGTCTTGGATAGCTTGTGCTGCTGTTAAGTTGCATTCGCCTTGAATGTGGACAATGTTCACTGGGGCCAGCTCCAGGGCTGTACCCCTTACCAGGGCTCAGGCCCTCCCCACCGTAAGATCTTGCTATATGTTCCCTGAGACCTCCAGTCCCCCTCCTTTGCATCCTTAAGTCCTGACCAGACCCCGCTGTGGCACCCATTCCACCAGTCCCAAGCCCCCAGCAGGGCCACCGGGGTGCCCAGGGCCTGGCTGAGCCTTGCGCTGTCCTTGCCAGTTCTGGGATCGCTGCAAACTCTTCCTGATGCCAGCCAAGCACCAGCCAGACCATGCCTTCCTGCGGCACGTGCCCCTGCGCCGGATCCATCTCTTCACCCTGGTGCAGATACTCTGCTTGGCTGTGCTCTGGATCCTCAAGTCCACGGTGGCCGCCATCATCTTCCCAGTCATGGTAAGACGGGCACAGGCTTCCCCTCCTGTGGGGCAGATTCAGCCAGGGAAGGTGTCCCTGGGAAGGTCCGCCCTCACCTTCTCCTCCGCGATGCCCAGACTCTCTCGGGGTCACAAAGGCAGGCACAGATGAAGATTCGGGTTGTGACTCCAGGCCAGATGGTGGGGGAAGGAAATGGAGAGGATGCAGAGGAGTGAGGAGGAGGAAAGGTCTGTGCAGTGGGGGGATGCTGCCGTGACAGCCCACCCACCCACCGCCACCCAGCTCAGGTCAGGGCAGCTCAGCGAGAACGCAAAAGCCACCCAATCTCCCCAACTCTGGGGCACGATGGAGAAGCGACAAAGAGACCGAGTTCCCAACTGTCAAAATTCACCGAGTACAGGTGTAGATCCGTACTGAATAGAAATCTTTTCATCCTTCAAAGTAACTGAATTTGAAAAGATAAATGGGGGGATGGGGGCAGGGAGAACTGGAATCAAGAGATTTAGAACGTCAGAGTCCAATGTCATCAACATGATGTTTGGAGAAGCAGGGGTAAATACATGGGCGTTCTTTGACTCTTCTTGAAACTGTATGTAAGTTTTAAATTATTCCAGGATAAAAAGGGAAAAGAAGGAAAGCCAACAACAGTGACCTCTGCCGCTGCTGGGGCATGGGGAATGGGGGAGGGGGGACTGTGGGCTAATGTTTTGGGGGGAGCCCTCAGTGAGCCGCAAAGCCTACAGGGCTGGATTAGGGACAGAAGTCAGATTTGAAGTGGGCCCTCCTGGGAGGGCTCTGAGTCAGTGATTCTTGACCCTGGCTGCTCATAAGAGTCACTTGGGAGCTTTTTAAAACTACATGTGCCCGGGCCTTACCTCAGACTAATTAAATCAGAATCTCTTGGAGAAACCCAGGCATTGGTTTGTAATAAGTCTACAGGTAAGCATAAATGTGCAGCCAAGGTTGAAAACCACCAGTCTAGGAAAAGTGAAGTGGGTCTCCCCCAGCAGTGCCCTCACGGGGTGCAGAGGTGTGAGGGGAAAGGACAGTCACCACTGGAGGTACTGAGTGCTGTCTCGTTTAGTCTACTCCAGCCCTAATGTACTACCAGTAACCCCATTTTACAGACCAGAAAACTGAGGCTCAAAGAGCATGTGTGAATGACTCAAGTCACACACCAGAAAGGAGCAGAGCCTAGGTTCATACCTTCCCCGACTTTGATAGTTTTTAGTTTACATGCAGTCAAATTCATTCCGTGGTTCTGAGTTTTGACAAATCACAGAGTTGTGATTTGCACCACCATAGTCATGAAACAGAACAGTTCCATCATCTCTAAAATTCCGTGTTGTCCCTGTGGAGACAGCCCCTCTTCTCACCCTTGCCCCTAGCAACCACCATTTATTTTTAGAGCCAGGAATTTTAGACTCCAGGTCTGTCCAGCTCCTGAGCTCTCCCTGCTCCCAAGATGCAGGGTCAGTGAGGAAGCAGTGTTAAATCTGCCTGCATGGTTTTCTCCCTGACCTCATTTCATGGCCAGTTCTTGGTAGTAAGAAGACAGTATTCATAACTAGCTACCTGGACCCATTGTGTTTATTAAAATGTCACTGTTTAATCTCCCCCAAAGAGCACGCGTTTTTCCCTTTAATTTATTTATCCTGAACAGAACCAGACTTTCTAGGCTTCCCTTTAAAAATTCCAGTTACGCCAGTGTGTTTTATTCAGATTTTGTTAGCAGAGAGATGGGCAGCTCTCAGAAACACGGGCAAAGGGACAGCTACTCTCAAAGTGTGGCGCCTGAAACAGGAGCATCAACACCTCCTGGGAATCTTGGCGGAGAGGCAAATAAATTCTCAGCTCCCCCCGCCAGACCTGCTGAGTCAGACACTCACCCAGCACCTAGCAGCTTGTGGATTAGCAGCCCACCAGGTGATCTGATGCCAGCCCAGGTCCGAGAACCACCCATCTTCAGAATAACTAATTCTCCAGCCCACATCCCCACCTCGCTCCCAGCTCAGCCACCACGGGCTCTGTCGCGCCAGGTCACTGGTAGGCACTGCCACTCAACTGAGGAACCGAGGTGGTGGGAGGTGAACACTGGTCTGTGGGAGCTTTGAGAAGGTTCTAAAGAATAAAGTCGACTAAGGGAGGAAAAACCTGTGCCCAAGTATGAGGCCTTGAGCCCGTGGTTTCCTCTGTACTCTCACCACAGATCCTGGGCCTCATCATTGTTCGAAAGCTTCTGGACCTCATCTTCTCTCAGCACGATCTAGCCTGGATTGACAACATCCTCCCAGAGAAGAAGAAGAAGAGAAGGAAAGGGGCCCAAGAGGACAGCGACGAGGAGGTGGGGAGGGTGTGAGGCCTGGGCTGGTGGGAGGGATCAGGAGCCCTGCCCTCCGCTTCTGCCGGGCCGGGCAGGCGGGGGCTTCTCAGGCGGCCAGGAACCGAGGTCTGGGCCCAGGACAGGAGGAGCTGAGGCTTCTGCTTGTCTTGGTCTGGGGTGCTAAAATCATGTTTATGTGACTGTCCTCGAGCCCCGCCCACCCAGGGAAGGCCTGGTCGGCCTCGCCTGCTTTTCCCCATTCCTGGGGCCCTCGGGACCATTGTCAACCGCAGGGCAGGCCCCTGAGGGAGCAGGGTGAAGACTCAGCTCCATCGTGGAGGAGGCTATGAGGACTGGCCGCCAAAGATGAGGGTAGGCCTGGGGGGAGGCATCTAATGGGGACCCGTTAGTAGCCTGGACTCCTAGACAGGTGGGAGGACCGGGGAACAGGGTCTGCTGGGCCTGCCCCTCAGGTACTGGGAGGTAAGTGGAGGAAGAGGCACGTGCCCTCACTGAAAGGGAAGTGACTCCACTCCCCCGATGGCTGGGACCAATCAGTTGCCCCGTCTGCTCCTCCCTTCTCCCACGATCCTGCCCCATCTCACCCCCAAAGGCCTCAGGGAGTCAACAGACCAGAAGCCAGCCCAGAACTTACAGTGAATCACAAAACACTAGGCAGAGAGGTCGTCTGGTGCAAGTGCTCATTACAGGTGATGAAGCTGTCCCCCACGAGGGAAAGGGACTCACCCAAGATGGAATAGAGCTAAATGTCTAAGAGGGGTTAGGAAAACCACTCCTGACTGAATCCAATCATTTCCAATACGCTAAGCTGCCGTGCCACCCCTTACCACCATGCTGGCTCCCGTTCCCCCGAAGTGACCCAAGCCCACATCCCTGCCTCTGCCTTAAACTGGCTTCCTGGCTATCTTGCCTTTTGCTGACTGGCGACTATTAAACCATCTTCTGATGGTAGTCATAGGCCAGAACTCCCCTGGTCCTTAATTACTGTCCTTTTCCAGGAAGGTAAGAGGCTCAGAATCCCCATTCACGTGTTTTTCATTGATGATTTAGATGATTTGCAAAGGTAGGTTCTAAGAACAAAGAAATTGAGTCTCAGTGCCTTTTAAAAAGACAAATACTTATTCTTTCATTGATTCATTCAGTGAATATTTGAGTCACTACCAGGTGCCAGGAACTGCTTCAGGGGTGGGAAAAAGCATCTCTGGATTATATGATATATTCAATGGAAAAACGGGATTTGATTTACATAAATCCGTCTGGCGTGTAAAATGACTTAACACAGCTACTGTGTGAGGTTCACTCTAAAGTGACTGGTTACCACAACAGCTGAAGCTGGTGTGATGAGTAACGTTCCCAGAAGAGTTCCGTCCTTTCTCGTGTCCTCAGTGGACCCGGGGTGTTTGCGGCACCCCCCCCCCATTTAGTCTGGGTGTGAAGAGGACGGTGGTTTGCATACTGTGGATGCATGTATTTTCCATCTTGGCAAGAAAGCCAATTTTGTATTGGTGGTGTTTACCAGCTTTTCCCACTGTTTCTCTCCAGCCCCAGTTCCCTCCTCCCTCAGTTATAAAGATTCCCATGGAAAGTGTCCAATCAGATCCCCAAAACGGTATCCACTGCATTACCAGTAAGTAAAACACATGGTGCCTCTCCCTTCCTACTTCCTACTAAAGCCTCCACCTCTTCCTCAAGGAACTTTCATCTTTAACTCAGAGCTGATGGCCTTAGATACTGAAGGACTCCTGCGCTAGGCAGAGTTCAGAGAGAGCCGGGCTACAGGAACTGGGACTCCAGCCAGATGGAAGCCCCATGTCGAACCCTGTAGACGTCAGTGATCAATCTTCGTCTTAGTTCAGGCAGACGCCCTGGTTCCTTCCTTACCCCGGGTGCCCCCAGATGCTTGTGACACCACCCGGCCCTCTCTTGCACTGTTTCAGGCCACGCTGATCCAAACATGACCCGCTGAACCTCTCAGGTTTGCCAGTGGTTGCTGAAATGACTGACAGCTGAAGTCCAAGGCCGAGTTGTCCCCTGTAGAGAAACGCATAAGCAGCATCACAGCGGGACTATAGCTCAGTCAAGGTCCTGGTGGTCGGGCTGTGCTTCTGCGTGGACCACAAGCTCCTCCCACCAGCTGAAAGGGAAGCTGCCTGGAAATCAGCATCAGACGCTGCTGATGAAGATTATGGGGTGTTTCATCGCTGTCTTTACCCCCTCCTGGCCTCAGCTCCCTACTGGCGGACAGCCTTGTCATCAAGACAAACACAGTCTATCCTGGGAGTCGTCTGAGATCCCAACTTGAGTCCTGACCCCAGGGCTCCTAATAGGGCTTGCCACTTTCCTCAAAGACCCAGATCAGGGATCCCGCCAGCCCCCCGCCACCGCTACCTTAGGGCCCTTCAAGGAAGGGATTCCCGTCACGTTCTTCATCAGAAGTACCTCTCCCTTCTGAGTTTCTCATTCTCCTTCCCTTCCCGTCTGTATACTTCATCCCCTTTCTCATTCTTGCCTGGCCCCCACCCACCTCTGGGTGAAGGAATAACTGAACCAGAAGCCACTCATCTCTGTGAGGCCCCTGAATTCCTCTTGTGTAGCATTGGCCGTGGGCTTAATAAGAGAACAGAAAGGAGAAGAAATGGGTGAGGGAAGCACTGGGGAAAGAGGTATTCTCCAGAATAGTTCTCCAACCTGCTCCACATCTGACACTTTAATTTTCCTACCAGGAAAAAGATCTTCCAGTTGGAGTTACTCACTCTGATTCTTCCTTCAGTGATTCAGAACTCGACCGAAGGTAACAACCCTGCGGTAGGCTCCTTGGGTGTTTGGTAAGAGGCTAAGCAGCGGCCGGGAAGGTTGAGGGGCTCGGATTTCCCAGGCTAGCCAGCATCTTAGTGAAAAAGCCTTTGCCGGTCCACAAACGCACAGACCTGATTACTGAGTGTCAAGTAGCAAATGTGTCCTCTTACTGATAGAACATGATTATAATACACAAAGGTATTCAACTTTGGAAAAGGAAATTATTACCAAATGTTAACTAGAATGAAAATTGAAAGTCAACATTGAAAAAAGAAAACAGAAATTAGACATGACTTAAGTATACATTACTGAAAGCCAGGATAAATGAACTTTAAGGATCAAAACATCAGGTACTCTCATACCCTTGTGTAATAAAAAAATAGCATCATTAATTAGCAAAGGTCAGAAAAGGTATCAAGGAAAGCCAACTAAGGCTCAGTGATCTCGTGGAGATACAAAGTCAAGAAAGGCTTGAAGGCCAGTTTCCAGGAACTCTCATGCCAACAACATGATTCCCTGCTGTTCTTCATGAGAAGCCACCCTCAAAAAAGGTGGGACTACTTGATGATTGAAAACAAGGGGGGGGAGCAAAAAATGGAAAATAAGAATGCAGAGGCCAGAAAGTCTGCCTGTCATTTCTAGGGGAGATGGTGGGGACAGGCCCGCTCCTACAGGGGGCCCTGAGCTGCACAGGAACCGCTCTGTGCCAGATCTGACAGTGAGAGCACGGGCTACCCCAAGCCCAGAGGCCGCCGCCTCCAGACGCAGACAGCACTCACCCAAGAGAGTTTAGGAAACACGCATGGGATCTTCTGAGCTCTCAGTTGGAGCTGTTACCACATCGCCAGGATGAGAAGAGACTTATCACCAGTAAAGCTTCCCTAAGCAGCCGGCCCAAGGCCACTGGAGTCCAAATTACGTCTCCGCCTGCTTTCTCACCCCACCTCCCCGATCAGGGCTCCTGGGCACTTAGTGCCACTGATCTTTAATATATAAATGTGTTAGAGGAAAAGCACTCTTGTCTTGATTTATTTTCATTTTAAAGTAGGTGACACGAGGCCGGAAGGTATAGCTCACGTGGTAGAGGGCATGCTTAGCAAGAATAAAATAAACCTAATTACCACCCACACCCAGCCCCCACAAAAATAATAAATGAGCCTACACAAATTGTTCCAGTTTCAGCTAATGGAGAGAGAATTTGTACCAAGACATTTCTAAAAACCTGTTCAAGTACACAAAGCTCGTGACAAGGTCAGAAATGCAGACAATGTGCTAACTGGTGATGGCACCTCGCAGCTACACTGGTGTTTTACCACATCTATGAAAGGAGATGGAAGGAAAGGCCACTAAACAGTGGGATTCCATTTCAGTGAAGAAAAAACTTAGCAATATGATGTAGCTTAACAAGGATAACCGTCCATGACCTAGCAGGCATGGTGCTTAATCCCAGGGGATGCAGAAAGAGATGCATGTGAACAGAGACAAAGCACCTGTGCCAAGACCAATGGTGCACACAAGAGAAGGGACAGGGGTCTAACGGAGGGATCTGCCTTACCCGGTAGAATGATAAATAGGAGTCTGCCAGATGTTTGAGTAAAGGAGAAAGGAGAAAGAGAAAAGGGCATTGCAGGTATTGGGAAGAGGCCTGAAATACTGCAGACACGGGGCAAAGAAGCCGGGATGGACAGGCCACACTGCAAGCAGGCAGAAGGCTCGTATCTCGTCAGGCTAAGGAGCTTGGATTCTCTCTTTGAACAGTGGGGGGCCACAGTCAGATTCGTGATCCAGAAAGTTCACGTTGGCAGCAGTGTGAAAAATAGGTTGAAACAGGGCGAGACCAGTCATGGCCACAGCTGAGGGCCCAGCAGATGGGACACTGCTAGTTCAGTGATGTGCTAAGGGTTTGTGAGCAAAGACAGAGCTCTGTGCACTGCAGCCCTCCTCTGGCGGATAGCACTGAAAACACTGAAGACTAGATAAACCATTCTTCCTTCCTTCTTTTTCTCGTCCAGCATCACCCTGCACTTCAAAATTTCCTGTCCGGCTTCGCCTGCCTTCAACTACGCACAGAGCCCGGTCTTCATGGTGCCGCAGGTGAAGATAGAGATGGAGTCGGACTGTGACTTCACAGACGTGGACAGATTCGCAAGAGACGCTGATGGCGAGACAACCCTCTAGGTCGGAGCTTCCCCCAGGTGGGGCGCGATCTGTCCTCATTGTGAGCTTCTGGGCCAAAACCCTTCCCTTTTCTGAGCCTGTTTCCTTATTTACCAAACAGAGGGAGTGATTCCGCTTGACAGAAAACTGGACATCTGTTGACAGAAAGTACTGCTTACATGCAAAGCCCTCTGCTTCCCTTTGTAGTTATGGAAATAACTAAAGCTAAATGCTACATCTAATTTTAAAATGCAGTCCAGCATAGAAATTATAACATTTCTTTTGAAATGAAAAAAATGCTCGCCTCTTAAAACTGTAGCTAAGATAAAGGGGCAGTAGTCAATTTTTCTTTAAAACAAGTATCAGCTAAGATTTTTTTTTAAAGCTTAGATTTTAAACTATCTAGATGGTCTGAAAGAACTGTTAAAATACTTGTACTTCAATAGACCAAGTTTGGAAAATTTGTTTTGCAATTCTGCATATTAAGAAATGCTAAATACGTCCCCTTTTCTCTCCATCTCATTCAGTTTTCTAAGGGTCATATGAAAAGTTTGAACTATCTGCATTATGGGTCTTGCTTCAGCACAGAAGCGTGACTCAGTCTTTCCCAGATTGAAAGCCAGTTCTAAAAGTCTGGTAGTGAAAGAACCAACACATTTGAGTGGATATTTTTAAAACAAAATAGTTCTTGTTAAAGTGAAATCTCAAATCACATAGTCAATCAACAAAATGATCCTTTAAATTAGTATCACTGGTTTTTCAAGCCCCAAATCACATTTCTTTATGCATTTGGGAAGATCCTTTCTGCAAGTTTTCAATGGCCTGCTTTCCAAAGTCAAACCTGCAGTCACACGAACACTGCATGTTAAGCAGGGCTAAGTGGAAATTCTGAAAGATTATACCTCCACAGTACTAGTCAGACTAGTACTTCAAAGGAGTAACTGGAAGCCGATTGGGTAGATTTAAAACCCATTAATAATGAAGCAGACCCTTTTCCTCATGAAACTTAAGATCAGTCTTTTTATCTTCAATCCACATTTAACAAACACCAACCATGTTTATTTACCACCTATGGTGTGCCTGACAGCCACAATGCATCTGACATTTACCTTCCCCAAAACAACTATGGATTTGAATCTTGAGTAAATCACTTTGGTTACAGTTACATTTACTCAGGATGACAAATGGAGGTGCTTCTTCTTTGTTGCTTTCTGTTTTTTAAAGATAATTGACTGTAGATCCTTAAACACCCTGAGTAAGGAGACACTTAAATTGTAATCCCCAGAGTCAGTGCAGTGCCTGATCCATAGAAAGTTCTGTGTTTATTAAATTAAATCTCAGAGCTCCTTCCAAGGAATACTGCATGAGATAAAGCTCTAACCCTCTACAGCTTCTACTGAGAGCAGAATTACTTAGCTGCTCCCTAATCCAGAACAATTGCCTGAATATAAGTATAAATTCTTTATTTTCATCTGCACCAGTTCTGGGAGAGCTAGCAATCTACCCTTAACATTTCTGTTTTAAAACCTGGCTGACTACCAATAGCACTTTGTCCAGACGGAACTGTAGAAATGTTACGGATTCAGGACTAAATGTGCTTGATTAATCAAACAAGCTGGAAAACTACAATGTTAATTTTCTGTTGCTGTAAATTGATCATTGTAATTTTCACCTTACATGTCATTTCTATTTTGTATATATATATGTACACACACAGACACAAACACATACACACGATCGCGGGTGCCCACATGAACACTTTAATTTCCATAGCTTTTAACAGGTTGACATATTGTTCCTTCTCCATGCAGGTCAGTACTTTTTTCCACTTGTAACTACAATTCAATAAAACTTAATCCTGTCTGCTCATCTTGCTCCGTGATTAATCATTTAGGTAAGTCAGCAGGCATGTCTTATGGTCAGGAGCTATTCCTCACTTACAAAAACATCTCTACCAAACTACCATCTTCCTTCATCTCCAGAAAACTATCAAAAGCACAAAGGCAGCTGGCAGAGGAACAAGGATGGAGGTTCTCCTTTCTCTCTTTGCCTCCAGCTGCCCGGAGCAGGGGCTGCTTCCGCCTTCATGAAAGCTACATACCCAGCCCTCAACCAGAATACACAGGCCCTATCCTAGCCTCAAATGTGCCACAGCAAATACCTCAGATCTGTGCAATCAAAGCGATGCTTTAAACACACATACACACACACAGAAAAAAAAAATGTATGGGGGAGGGGCACTTGGCGAAATATATCAAGAAGTCCTATGTAAACTGAACACATAGTGTAGAAAACAGTCAGAACAAGAGTAGCCACTTAAATGAGTCTTACAGATTAAGGTCCTGGCTTGGCACCACCTGTTGGGATGTAAGATTAAAAGGACTAGGCTGCTTTCTCCACAGCTCTTTAAACCAATTTGTTTAAGGCACAGGACTGGGTGTTACCAAATTCGGAGTATCTAGACTGATTACATCCAATGAGAAAAATTAGGTCACAACAGGATAGTAGCAGGAAGAGACAGTATTTCAGAAACTCATTCCATACAGTCAGAAGTGTTTTATTTAAAAAAAAAACAAAAAAACCAAAGTGAAACGAAAAAAAAATCCTTTAATCAGGAAGTCTGACTAAATTCAGATTTAATCCAAACTCTCAAAAACCGATCAGGGAAAGCCAACAGGTGCACCAGAAAGCAGGCAGCTGTTGACAGTTCTTTGGCGGAAAAGCAAGTTGCATACGTATATAAGCTTCACTAATGATTATCAAACCCAAGTTTTGTTTTTCAAAAACACATCTCAAGATACACTGAAGAGACCAAACAGACAAGCCCAACAGTACAAAAATATGACAATGAAGGATACAGGAAAGGCCATATATGACAACACACACGAGTAATGTGTAAAATAAGCCCTTCAATCCTAGAAAACTCAAAAGAGGAGCCCTCAGGAATGGTGGCATACATAAAACAAGGGCGAATAGCGAATGGAACCACCCTGAACATTTTCCCCACGACTAAGCCAAAGAATGACAGCTTAAGAGACATGTGGTTCTTCTTCTGGTTTTCAATCAATTTGTATATAAATGAGGGTAAATTTCTTCTACTCAGTTATCATCATTTCTTCCTTTCTACCTTTTCCGTAATTTTCTCTAGCAACATTTTTTCTTTGGTTTGACCAGTTGAACTCAAAAGGTTTGGAACCTAAAGTGAGTATCAACTCATTACTGGAATAGCACTTGGGAAATGCAATCCTAGAAAAGGCAAATTTTAACTGAAGTGGACTGACAGAGTTACACAGCCGTTCTCAGTGTGACCATGCTCCCCACACTGTGAATCGCAGGGTCAGTGGCTTCTCTCGGCTAGATCACATGACCCAGCGTGACAGTGGCGTGTTCCCTGGTGAGTTACCGCAGGGCTATGTGCACAGACACCTATCCATTTTAAGTTTTCAATAAATACAATGTTTTAAGCCATTTAAGTAGAATAAATAGAGAATATTGCATTTCTGCTGGCCTGGTTTTCCTCTTGAACTGGCTTGGAGTGCTCTTCATGATACAGAAGACAGAATTGTTAATTCCTTGCCACTCCGACCTCCTTAGACTTCAGTGCATCCCGCTCTTCAAGCCTCAGCACTTTTTTTGCAGCAATAATGGTATTCTTCATTAGCATTGCCACTGTCATTGGACCAACACCCCCAGGGACTGGAGTGATGTAACCAGCTTTCCTCCTGACTCCTACACAGAAAGACGGGCAGATTGCTTTAACTACGGCCAAGGAAATGTATATGTTTTAACATATCATGGAAGAAGCATTAAAAGAAAAAGCAGTAATATACATAAGCACCTTCATAAGCCTCAAACTCATTCTTTAAAAAAATCACATCTACATTATTCAAGAGTAAAGGCTATTAAACATACTAATAAAATAACATGTATATAAGAAGCAAGAGTTGTTCGATGAATATTTATACATCTAAATAACCTGGTAGGGGGAGAGGATAGCTCAAGGGGTAGAGCGCATGCTTCGCAAGCATCCAGGGTTCAACCCCCAGTACCTCCTTTACAAATAAATAAACCTATTTACCTACCCCACCCCCCCAAGACTAACCTGTAATTTACCAGTCATACTTTTCCTCCATGTTAAATTAACTTAAAAAGAAACATCTTAGTAAGTTAACTGCATGAGATATGTAACTGTAATAAGTATTATCTCAATTAATACATACTTAAAATATTTTTGTAATTTTACCCTATGTATGTACTATATTTAACTATACTATTTGCCCAAAGCACCAAGCAGAGTAATTTTCTGAAAAGTGAAAAGTATGATTATTTTTAATCCAATCTAAAAGGAAAAATACTTGGATAACCTAGGCTTGAGTCTGATTGCTTGAAAAGAAACAGAAAGCTAGAAATGGGATTATCAGTATTAAATTCAGATTCCAAACTGAAAGGTGAAATCTACTAGCAAATTCCAAACTCAGGAATATGGCTTTTCCCTGGACTTTAACATTCTAGGTCTGTGATCTCTCCTTTCAATATGAAAATGAGAACTCTAGTAACATTTTTTAGGAGACTTAGTGGTTTAGGAAAATCACCTTATTAAATTTTCAGGCTTGTTAAAGGTCTTGAAGTTGTTTTAATTATTAAATAATCCTAGGGGAAAAATCAAACAACTTTCTGAAAACTATGTATCTGTTCTCCATAATTTGATGATACAAACACCTAAAATAATTCTATGATGACTATAATTTTTAAAAAGATTTCCCTTAATTCTCATGGAAAGCATTCCAAATAGTATGACCAAGGTAACACAAATTTAAAAGTTAAAAAAAAAGTAATCTGTCCTAAGTGTCCAATATAGTATTTACTGATTTTTCTATTTAAAAAAAATTATACCATTTACCTTCAAAATCCACATCTCCAACCAACTTGGGTTTAGCAGTTACAGGATCCTGAATTCTATTTATTCCCACATCAATGACAGCAGCTCCTTCCTTGATCATATCTGCGGTGATCAGATTCGGAACGCCTAGAAATGGAGACAGAAATGATCGACGGAGTACTATAAAGAAGACTGCACCTGTCAGATTCTTATCTAATTTCAACTTCAAGAGACCTGGAAGAATGAATTAGCTTGTTTTACAAAAACCTGTTTAAAAAAAAAAACTATCAACCAAGGAAACATTTAAACTTGATATAGTAAAAAGAAATATTTTGAGGCTGTAGAAATAACATTCATCCATCAAGTGTCTAATGGAAGGCCAGAAACCAGCATGCCAACCATAACTCTCCCCTCCTCTTTGTAAGCAGCCCACGTTAACAGTCTCAGGGGGATGATGACCAGAATGGCAGCGTGGCAGGCGGTCCGCCTTCACCCTCCGAGCAGAGGTCCTTCCGCCCCCTCCCCGGTGCCCTTACCGGCAGCGGAGACCACAATGTCCGCAAGAGCTGTGTGTTTCTTCAGCTGCTCCTTGGGAGTGTATCGGTGGGCTACTGTGACTGTGGCATCACCTAAGAGTGAAAAAATAGACGTCTTGGTTTCTGAATCAAAGCTGCGGTTGGATTAGATCACAATTAGGCAAACCAAGGTAGAAATTAAATATCTCTGAAAAAAATAACTGACTCGATTCCTGTGCCATATTTTCTGGGCAGCCAAATGCATTCTTTGAAAAAAAAAAAGATATACTTATGTGGAATCTAAAAAAAAGACAAATGAACTTATATACAAAACAGAAACAGACTTACAGAAATAGAATACAGACTTGTGGTTGCCAGAGGGGAGGGGTTGGGAAGGGGTAAACTGGGAGTTCAAGATTTGCAGATACTGACTGGTATATAGAAAGCAGATAAACAAGTTTGTACTGTATAGCACAGGGAAATATATATATATTCAATATTTTGTAGTAGCTTACAGTGATAAAGAATATGAAAATGAATATATGTACATTTATGTATGACTGAAGCATTGTGCTGTACACCAGAAATTGACACAACATTGTAAACTGACTATACCTCAATAAAAAAAAAAAAACCCAAAAAAACAAATACTCGATTTCTTGTAAGTTTACCTGTTGGTCCTAGCTCTATCCTTTGGTGTTATATATAATTGGATTTATTCCTTATCCTACTTAATAGCCTTTCTAAACAAAGCATCACTAGAATTACTCAAGGATTTTTCTTAAAAGGTTGATGAACGCTATCTGGAAATATTTAGCTTTGCCATTATTTCTGATATAATCATGTAGGTCACATTATGATAATCACATACTCTGACTCTGATTTGAGACTTTTTCTCAGACAAATGAACAGGACTCGACATGCTGACACATTATAGTCATATCAATTCAATCCTTTGCAATGGTCTAAGATTTTTCCTACCACATATGCAGAATAGGACACTAACTCTGAATCAGTACTGCTTCCAACTCTCAAAGCCGTAACTAAAATTTGGAATTGCCTACCGCCATACTTACGCTCAAAACTCAAACTGACATCTGAGGCTTATCTATTTCTGAACTAGCGCCATACTACATGAATATAAATAAACTCTCAGGTGACACTGAGTACAGCTTCTCCTACAAAGATCCCAAATACCTGTTAACAAAATCACAACAAGTACAAAGCTTACCAGAGTTCACACTTCATACATCCACCAGGCAGTCTCTCAAGATGCTCACATAAAGAAAAGGACACGTCTCTGAAAGCAATTTCCTTACCTCCAGGTCGCTCATGTGCCCCATCTGTGTGTAGCAACATTGCAATGGGCATTCCGACATTTTTTGACCTTCCAGCCACAACCACATTCTTCCCTAGGGTTGGAATACCTATAAAGAGGAAATATATTTGCATTTAAGATAGGGGCAGATTATCTTAGAAAGGGCAGCCCAAGAAAAAGAAAGCTGATGGCCCAGGATGTCAATCTAATTGTGACAAAGGATGTCACCAAGCCTACTGCCTCATCTGTCAACTGGACTATCACTTGCCACACACAGTGAAGGCTAAAAGGAAACATTCTGTGAGCTACAAAAATATTATGTGAATGTGCACTATCACCACCGTTAAAACTGAAGTCTCCTTCAGGGGTTTCTGGAGTAAACAGCAGAGACAGTTGTAGGTAACTGCTAAGAGTTAGGCTCTGCGGAACAGGACTAGGGGATACAGGGCAGAGTTTCCATTCTTTGTTACTGTATGAATCTTTACCATTTGCAAGAACTGCTTTTGAACTTTTTTAAAAAAATGTTGTTGCTGTTGTTGGGGGGAGGAAATTAGGTTTATTTATTTATTTGGTTTTAGAGGAGGTACTGGGGATTGAACCCAGAACCTCATGCATGCTAACCATGTGCTCTACCACTTAAGCTATAGCCTCCCCGCTGCAAGTACTGCTTTTAAAACACTAAGACAGACACACAATTATGGGATATGCCTACCAGTTCGCTTAATTATTTCCCATACACCCCATGGAGTAGCTGGTAACATGGAATACTGGTCCAAACACATTCGCCCCACGTTAATTACATGAAAGCCATCAACATCCTTGTCTGGAGAAACAGCATTGCAGATCCTTCTCTCATCAATGTGCTCTGGAAAAGAAATCGGAGCAGTGGTTTTAAGTCACTGTTACGTAGTTAGCATCGCTTGACTCCAGCTTACTTGGTTTGCCAAAAAAAAATCGGCTCCCCTCCTACAACTTGCCCCCATGACTGGTTTCTTCACCTGTGCATCAGGAACACACAACCAGCAAAGCCAAATGCCAAGATCAAAGCCAGCGTCCTCTTGTACCGCTGCTCCCCTCCACTGTCCCTCGCATCAAGACCTCAATACCAAATCAAGCAGTAACTGGTGTCCTCAGTAGGTCTGTCACAAATCTAGTAACACACTCACTCAGTCTTGAGTTTACCTCCCCTTGAAGTCAAATCCACACGATGGGCCGGTTGCGTAAAGTAAACAGCCCTCTCCACTCCTCAGAAATCACTTTAAAGGGTGGTGTCCAAAACTCACCTGGAAGAGGCAGCTGTACAAGGAGGCCATCCACGTTACTATCATTGTTTAGTTTACCGATTAAGTTCAACAGTTCTTCCTCTGAAATCGAAGCTGGTTTCACAATTGTCTCACTGTTGATTCCTACAAGAAAATTCCAAGGTTTAAAAAAAGAAGAAAAGAAGAGGCATCTGTTGAGAAATGCTATGTTGGCCAGCCATGTTCACACCCTCCCTGGTAGCTGGAAGACCTGAATCAGCTCACAGGGAACCTTAAGCAACTTCTAAAATACGGACACTGAAGAATACTGGCTTGATACTTTCTATACATTATTCTACATAATCCTCATCAACCTCATTTTACAGACAAGGAGACTCCAAAGTCCATGTTCTCCCCACTGTACCATGCTATCTCCCATCCCGAAGTCTTAAATAGCCACGGCTTACTCCTCTCTAGAGGTTCTAAAAGAGGTTTTTCAATGAAAAGGGCAAGAGGCCTCAATCCTCAGTGATAAAGAACAGAGTATGCCAAGGGCTCCCAGTCCGGTAACACTGCCCAGACACACCAGGGGCTTCACAGCCCTTCGGAACCCCTGACCCACAGATACGCGGGCAGACACCCCGCTGAACCTACCCTACTCTGGCCTACAGCCACACAGAGCCTGCAGCATAGCAAGGTCTGGAACACAAACCTCCCATCACTCAGACCTGCGCCTTCCGCATTCAAGCCTCCAACCACTTTTTTTTTAAATAGATTCTTAGGTTTATTTATTTATTTTTAATGGAGGTACTGGGGGCTGATTGAACCCAGGGCCTCGTGCATGCTAAGCACGTGCTCTACAACTGAGCTATACCCCTCAGCCCAACCACTTCTGAACTGCATGATCTAATTAGCTTTGGAACCAATTGGAGGAGAAATCAAAGGTTATTTCAAAGAAGTCGGAGTCATTGCCTTCAAATCCAAGACTGTGTTCTAGGCCACATCCTTGAGGTCTCCTGGACCAATGCTCAAACACCTCAGACAAAGACACATTATTGCTCAAGGAGAGCAGATGTAAACTGCGTTCAGGGTCACCTAACAAAGGTTAAGACTAGCACAGAAACATTCCAGAAGACACCACCCTCCCTAGTCTGTAAGCCTTCCCCACCAGCAGCCTGATTTCTTTATGACAAATATTTAGATCCAGTCCAATCACATCAGCCTCCTCTGCTTGGGTTTTCTCATAAGAAAAAGGAATCAGAAATCACAATAAAATTTGCCTTGGATAAGTGAACAGCAGTCAGGGTCTGAGGCTGACACATACCCACATCGGCAGCCGCTTTGCTTTTGTTGAGGACATAGGAGTGACTTGCAGGATTCTCCCCAACCAGAACCACGCTCAGGGACGGCCGCCGGTTGCCGGCCGCCACCCACTCCTCCACCTCCCGCCGCACTTCCTGCTTGATCTGCTCGGCAAGTTTCCTTCCAGAAATGACAACAGCTTCATTGCTGCAGAGGGCAACAGTCACAAAGACCAACTGCGTGACTTTTCGTGGAGAGTAAGGATCGGACTACAAAGAAGTGGAATTAAATACCCAAAAATGCGTGGGGTCGGGGAGCGGGGGCTGGAGGAAGGTGGTCAAAAGGCACCGCGGGCCCTCCTATCCACAGGTTCCCCATTGGATGATTCAATCAACCGCGGATCAAAAATATTCGGGAAAAAAATTTCAAAAAGCTCCAAAAAGCAAAACTTGAGTTTGCCCTGCACCTGGCAACTATTTACATAGCATTTACGTTGCACCTACAACTATTCACATACCGTTTACATTGTTATGGTACTATAAATAACCTAGAGATGACTTAAAGTATATGGGAAGACGTGCATAGATTACATACAAATACTATGCCGTACATACAAATGTGTTATACAAGGGAGTTCAATATCTGGGAATTTTGGTATCTGGGGGTTCCTGGAACCAATCCCCCTCAGATACGACTGTACAAGCTTCCATTTGTGAGATAAATAAGTACTAGGGATGTACTGGATGGTGTGATGACTATAGTTAACGCTGCCATACGATATACAGCAAAGTTGTTTTGAGAGTGGATCCTAAGCGTTCTCATCACAGGAATCAATTTTCTTTTCATTACATCTATATGAAATGATAGATTTTAACTAAACCGTTTGTGGTAATCATTTCACTATGTATGTAAATCAAACCATCATGCTTTACACCTTAAACTTATACAGCGGTTATGTCAATTATTTCTCAACAAAATGACAAAAAGAAAAAAAAATGTGAAGTTTAGATTAGAATACAGGTTCCTAATCTGAGGGACAGCTGAAGTCTGAAGGGCAGGTTCAGCGTGGCATATCTGTGTCCAGCCACATATTTAGGAGGATAAAGCTGATTGAAATATTACGATCATTAATCTGAACCTTGGAGGGTTTAAGTAACTGACAGCTAGTACCTGACAGAAGCTGGGTCTTATATCCAGCTCAGTCTGAATCCAGAGTCTAGGCTTTTAACGCTATACCATCCTGCCTCCAGATCACTGACGAACTGATAAGCAAAAAAAAAAAAAAGTTTTCATTGTTTATATTTTGCATTATTTTATCTGATCGCTCACCACTATGAAGTTCGTTTTTCCTATACGCTTATGTGCCATTTGTGGTTTGTGTTTTGCCCACATTGTTGGCAACCAGTCATATGCTTCAAATCATTTCCCAGTTAGTTTCTTGGCTTTCCATTTATACATGCTTTTAAATGTATAAATTACGTTATGCAGTTAAGCCAATAGGCAATACACTGAACAAACCTCAAATGCCTACTGCTCCCCACAGGCCCTCCTGGAAAAGACTTTCCTGGTGAAGAACAGGGATTGGGGTGGGTCAGGACTAGGGAGGTCCCATCTCGCAGGTGGCAGTGTGCTCTACCCTGAGACCCCAACGCCCATCCGCAGCTGACAGGTCAGGAGTGAGTATCTGATGCCAAGGTACTTTCTAGGCTGGCCAGAGGTCCCGGTGGGGCCAAAGCTTATGCAGCAGGAGCAGTGGTAGTGAATTGAACCAGTAAGAGCTTCTCTCGGAACTACATTCACATGCTAGAACCACAGGGACGAGAAACTGCTTGTTGGAGGTGAGGCAGTGAGAAAACTCGGGGTCTAGAAGCATCTCCAGTTCCCCAAAGCATGTTTAAATATCTGAAAGCCTCTCTCTCCCTAGTAAAAACTGGTTATGCACCACTTCCTGGATTCCAATGTGGAAGATCCCGGGTTTTCTTACTTCCACACATATCCTTACAATGAAGTTTCCATTACTTAAAGAAGGATAAGCATTTGTTCCTTAAGAAAAAAAGACTCTGCTGAAAACAAGACTTTCCCTTTAGGTTTTTGTCCCCAGTGTCGTGAGGGATGCTCCAACCTTAAGAACAATGAAGCATACAATTGATTCAAACACTGAAACAATCTGTGTCCCCTTACAGTATGTATTTAGTTCACAGGGATAACATCAGGGTACTGGATATCTTGTCTGGTCAGATATAATTCTCAAGGCCACTGTTAATTAAAATGGAACTTTACAGCTTTAGCAATGTTGAAGCCTTGAATGCTTGCTTTTCACTTGCTTTGTGATTTAATACCTACTTTAAATGAAAGCTCAATGTCTCAGACATAATGCAGTAACTTTACAATCTAAACCTTCTATTAATCTGTATTTGCATCTTTCGAGGTATTAAGGAAACATCACAATTTTATAGCAAACCAAATGCTTTTACCCAGATTTGATGTGATGATACTAGCATAGTACAAAATATGTAATAGCAGTTCATATATATTCATGGTATATTGAGGAACTGAGGACATGTTAATATCTACAAATCCATTTCAGGGTTGGGGGGGACTTCATTAAAAGGGTATTTGCTGATACAAATACCCCTGGCAACGTTCTTGATCTACAGTAATACCAGGAATACCTGTCCCAGGCCAGAAATATATTCCCAGTCCTAGTACAGAAGAGAATAAAAGACTACTTTAAGCAGGCTTAGGACAGTCATTTATATTGAATGAAATAACTCACATAAAGTGCCAAGTACATGTAGTAACTAAAAATTAATTTCTAACTCTCTTCCGTTGGTTAGATTTATACACATACATATCCTTAATATACTATATATATATTTATCTATTTATACACTCATAAGGATATCCATACAAATATTCAGTGCAAAGGACTTAGATTGCATTTCATTAAAAAGTTCCTTTTAAAAGCAGTAAACTTAAGATAAACAAGTTTATACTGTACAGCATAGGGAACTATATTCGATCTTGTAGTAGCTTACAGCGAAAAAGAATATGAAAACGAACACATGTATATTCATGTATGACTGAAGCATTGTGCTGTACACCAGAAATTGACACAACACTGTCAACTGACTGTACTTCAATAAAAAATGATTTAGAAAAATAAAATAAAAGCAGTAAACTTAGAGAAAATGGTACCAGCACATCTGGGCTAAGCATGATATAATAAAGACACAGGGTTCTGGGGGAACCCGGTGTTCCAAGTTCCAAAGGCAAGTTCTGGATGTTATGCCAATTTACTGGAGAAAAAAAAAAAGTCGAAGAGTAGCAAGAACCGAAACAGAGCCACAACGCAAGGAGTTATCTTTCACAGCATAACTGTGTTGTAGCCCTCTTCTGTGTACAACTTTGCCAAATGTGAAACACAGTCCTCCAAGGCAACTCCCTAATTACCTAATTTCCCAACATTTTTTTTTTGCCAAAGGGCGGATAAAGTTACTGCTACTCCCAAAAAAACAGAAATGGAGATAGATCAGTCCTACAGGGAATCCAAAATTTATTAGCCATATTAGCTAACACTTATTTACAAGTGCATTCACAAATGTGTTTAGAAAATTTTCCATTAAAACTATGAATCAACAGACTAGAAAGTCAAGAGGTCTGTCCAAATAAAATTCAAAACTGAAATCCAAGTCAGTGGCGTCTTCACTTTCCTCCTAATTCAATAGTTTACAGTACTGTAATTTCCCATGAAAATTTAGGATGGGGTGCATTTCACAATTCATGATGCAGTTTTTTTGGAAAGAGTGCTGTTATCGACTAATTAATGGAACCAGCAATGAGTGAACAAACAAAGACACAAAGGGGGATGGAACTAACATGTACTAAACACTAAGTATTTTGCTAAGAGTTTTACATACTTTAGTGAGTAACCTTAGGACGATTATAATAAGTCTGTTACACAGAAAGGAGAAACTCAGGACAGTAGAAACAAAATTCAACACAAAATTGTGCCTCCAAAGTCCATTTTTTCCTATACCCCATCTAGACTACAGTACTCTCTCTCTAGCCATGAAAACTCTCACACCAAACAAATAAATACATGCAGACTCATAGTTTCATAAAGATAGTTTTAAAGTTACCAGCCAGCAGTAATTCAAAGTAATACACTGGAACCCTGAATACCATATGTACTTACTGCCTTCAGAGACGTGGAAACCTACATTTTCATTTAGGAAAGGAGGTGAAAGGAGGGCATTTGTCACTGGAGAGTGTGAGCAAACTGGTCCAGTTCTCTAGGTGATGAATTGAAGGATCTTTATAAATGTCTTTTCAACCATGAAAGCAACCGGTACATATGGCCAGAACTCGGAGGAGAAATGACAGCAATGAAAGATGGGGCTGGAAACGTAGGTCAGGGTCAGACTAAGGAAATCCTCTGAGGTCTTCTTTCAAAAACTTAATCCCCATCCTGTGCTCCAACAGCACCATGGAAATGTCTCTAATAGTATTTTTTACACTGATTGGAAATTATACACGTGTTCTGACCCTTGACACGTACGGCAGTGCCACTAAGGATAGAACCGTTTTTCCGATCTCTGAAGTCGCACAGCCTAGCACAGTGCCTGGATAAAAGGGAATGCTGTTTCAAGGCTTAGGTCTCTGCAGTGCAAAGGTTCTAAAGATTGACAGCAAAGAGGGCGCACAGGTTTAGGGAGAGAAATCACAGCTCCTCCTCCACTCCCACCCATCAAAAAAGATTCTTCAATCTAGGTTTAGCGTGGGAGTTCGAGGTCCAGAAAGATCAGGAGATACTTATTACCGCCCTAAGAAAACGCAAACAGAGCTTTCCCTCTCCTCCTCCCGGGTGTTTACTCCCTCAATTTACTTGGCCTGGCACTAACCAACTCGGGATGGGCTGACTCAAAGTCCTGCTGACCACAGCACAGTAATCCCCTTGAGGGGAAAAGGGGCAGGTTGAAGAGCAGCGCGCGCCGCATCCACGTCCGGGAGGAGGAGGAGGGAAGTGCTGGTCCTGGGCGAGCAAGGCTCGGGGATTTCGTCAGACTGCTCCAACCCCGCTCCGCCGCTAGGGTCCCGGGGACGCACGGCTCGCAGAAGGCTGCTCCCTCAGAACTCTTCCCAGCGCTCGCCAAAGCGGCTCCTCGGCTTTCCCCAAGACAGCTCCTGGCATCACCATGGCCAAGGGCGGCCGGTGACCTCCGCATGCTCCCACGTCAACTGCGGCGCCCCAGAACCCATCTGCGCCTTCGCTCCAAACCGTGGGCCCGTCCCGCCGGCTGACCGGCCTCGAGACAGGGCGACTCCCCGAGCCTCCCGGAGACTCGCTCCTTCCTAAAGGCGGGCTCCCGGTCTCAGCCCACCACCCTGCGGAGCGAGCGCCCTGGTGGCAGCCTGCCGCCACGCTCGGCTGCCACGTCGCCCCGCCACACCCCTCTCGGTGGCCACCACCGCCCGGGACGGAGATGCTGGGGAAGGGCGTCCCTGGGCGGGCACCGCGCTGGGTTCTTCTCGGCTTTCCGCGTTGGCCCAGCTCCCCAACCGTCTTACCGAACTGCCGAGAGGTGGAAGGGGCGAGGGCGGAGGCGGAGGCGGAAGCTGCAGCTCTGTGCTGGCCGGAACAGCCATGTGGCCAAAGTAGACCCGAGCGACGCTACAGCCATAGCCAGCGCCAGGAGGGTCGCGCGCGCGGGCAGCCTAGTTATACCGCCGCCGCTTGGCAGGCCCCGCCTCCCGCCGGCACCCACTGGTCCCTGCCGCACTCCGCTTGAAGTCTATTGGGCCGCTGGAGCTGAAGAAGCCAATCGGGTGTCTTTATTAAACGCAAGCGAAGACCAGTAAAGCCCTGCTTGTGATTGGAGCAAAAAGAGCTAGGAGCGAGACTTTGGAAGGCTCGGAAGAAAGGCTCGGAAGAAAGGCTCGGTAGCTCCCCGAGACTGGCTGAGGAAAGCAAGCCCCTGCCACATGCAGCTGTTGTCAAGGAAGCCAGGCCAACTGGAGTTCGGTCATGTATTTCTCAAATATATGAGCATCTACCATGTGCCCGGAAATATAAAGAGTGGATAAAAAGTTAGACAGATGGAATAGCAATGAATAAATGAATAAATGTAGAAGAATGATGGAGTTAGAAAATAACTATTTGGCAAAAATCATGCTAAAAATTGTTTCAGACTCAATGGCTGTCAAAGCAACTGGGTGAAGTTGGATGAGGAGTAAGTTATTTACATATAGCTTTGCCAGATCTTGCAAATAAAAATACAAAATGCTCAATTAAATTTGAGTTCTAAATAAATAACTTGGGAGGAGGGGTCATATTTTAGCAAAAAAGTATTCATCGGTTATCTGAAATTCAAATTAAGCTGGGCCTCCTGTATTTTATCTGGCTGGCCACCCTATGCATAATCTCAAAGTATGTCTCCCACAAAGTATTTTTGTTAATAGCAAAGGGGGGAAATGGCACATTTACAGTGGAGAAACCTGATAGTCATCATTTTAAACAAGTGATCACAAACACACATTATGTGCCCTCAGATACAATGTTACGGAAACTACAGGCCAGCCAAGAAACAAGCACCACTCGGAGGGTTGGAGTACTCAGATGTATTACGCCAGCAGGCTCAGAGGGGCTTCTGCTCCGAAGCGCTGAGCACCTCCAAGACGTGCGCATGAGGTTTTATAGGGTAAAGTACAAGCTTGGCGTATTCGGCCAATAGGCATGGAATAGCTTTAGCAGCATTATCATCACAAAGGTGGAGGCGGGGAGGCAGCAAACCAACATTCCAAAGCCAGATATGTATGTTTGAAAACCCAGCTGGCTAGCAAGAAAACATAAACAGCAAACCAACACTAATTAACTTAGATTTACAAGTTAGTCCAGCGGAACTCAGATCAGTATTCCAATACTT